GGGTCAGTCTCAAGTAGACTAATCAGAACTTCATTTTGAAGGTCAGCAGGGACCTATAAATGAATGAAGCATCAGAAAGGTGAGTACAGAATCATGCACCGTTGTACTATATAGTCAAAGGTTAAGCTTCAACAAAATGAAACAAACACACTACAGAACAACTGATCAATGATTACAACTATTTGTGTGAAATAAGTACCGTGTTTTTCCGTCTATCAGATGCCCCCTATTTTGGGGGACTCAGATTTAAGAAAATGGGGGGAGATATATCCGTGTATAAGACCCCCCCTAATTACTGACATTATTTTGGGGGGGAACCTAGTCTTATACACGGAAAAATACTGTATATAAGGAAAGCAGTATTATTTAACAACTGCTCTCTCTTTCCATTCATTTCTTCCTTACTATGCATAAGTGCACAGGACTGTGGTTCTAATAATATGAAATAATGGACTGTGCACAGTTTGTAGAAAGACTGCTTTTACTGATTGTTCAATAAAATATTGATCAAGAATCAGACAATATTGCTCAATGCATAATTTGTTCTAAAACATCAATACTCATCATGCTTAAAAAAAGAACGAGGTGTGCAATGATTTTCATGTCTGTTAAAACACTAATTGCTCTTCATACTAAATTTTATTATAAGTAGCACATTTTATTTTGTTCATGCATATCTGACTTTAATGGGCTGTACAACACCTGGCAGAGACCTGGCGTTCATGACTCACACTGGGATGGAATGAACTTGGGAGGCAGAACAGTGCGCACACACAAACAAACACAACGCTTTCAAGTTTTACTCCTGTTCACAAAACAATTGCCAAACTGAGCCTCTATCATCCTGACAGATTATTTAGGATTTTAACACATCACCTGTCAGGGAACTGACATCGGAGCTAGAGGCGGAGGGAAGGCTCTCAAATGATGCTGGAGAAGGGCCCAGCCGGGAGAGAGGCAGCTCAGCAGATGGGGAAGCAATTCAGCGCAACACCAGGAATAAAGAGGAGGAGATGGGGGAATCGGCGAGAGGGCTCCCAGACTCTTCACCGGACACCAGCGGGGAGAGCACTGGTCCTCCGCTACCCACGCCCTCCCTGCGCAGAAGACTTCCGCGCAGGGAGAGTAGGAGGAGACTGGGTGTCAAACAACTTTTATGTTGGAAACGGTTTAAGAAACGCCCAGTGACGGATTCTGCTAGCGACTGAGGCAGCCACGAAGTGAAGGGCTGTCCAGACTGAAAGGTTTAACAAGGCAACAAAGCCAGGAGAGGCGGCAACTTACGCACGAGCAACCCATACTCTTTACATCACCGCAGAAAGAATTTTTAATACAGCTCCAAGTGCTTAAGTTAGAATTTACTTGTAGAGTGCACGTATTCTCTATTTTGTTCTGCTGCAACTTTGAAAAATATGTGAAACGGATACCTGACTATTTACTACAGAACTAAAATCAGCAGCAGATTGCTGATCCTAATTCACTGAAGAAACACAAACAACCTGTAGTAATATTATGTATCCATCCTGACAAGCAGAACCATTCTGACCTGACAATAAACCCATGCAGTAGGCCAAATATCACATTCTGTTCTACTGGATTTTATTTCGCATATCTTGCTCCAGTTTCAGTGGTGAAACCGGTCACAGCTGGAGGAGCGAAAGAAAACTTGGCAGCAACACACTTAAGTTGTACGCTGTGGATCCACGCTCTCGTCCAAATGTTTCTCTATTTGAAACTAGTGCAAATGTCAAAGTCTTAACTATAAACAGCAGCCCTGGCCTCTTACCACTTCTGGGGTTTGAAAAACAATCTGCTGCTGCTTGATAGGGAACTATCAGCATTTGCTACAAAAAGTCAACACGCCTATATCTGTCAATCGATCTACCACCTTAGCAAAGAATATGAGGGTCCAATTTGCGGACTCACACACCATGTTGTTCTCTTAGATAAAATGCTAACAGCAAATGAAGAAATAAGCACAAATAGCTTGATATAAGTATATTCCACTATAACAGCTAAATCGGGGCAGAGGTTTGAGCCAGATCCACTGAAGCAGTTCAGTTCAGTCAATAAACACATTGGCACAAATAGGAAGAATCTCTACGGAGATGCTTTTCCACTGTACGTATCTGATGTCAAACTGACACACATCCGCAGCACTCTCTAATTATAAACACGTCATTTGAAATGGTACATTGTTCCCTTGCATCTAGCAAGGCACTTAGCTTGGCCTACAAAGAGGCAAAATATTTATCAGCTCCAACAAAATAATAAAACCCGCTCTAAAAAAAGCAAAGAAGACAGACATTGCCCGCACCCTGCAATCTATGACAGATTGTAAGAAAGATGTGGTAGAAAAAGGCTACTACAGCTGCAATGATCCAGTGGATAACTAGCTCAGTGTTTTAACCCTATCGGTCTCTCCCTCCTCCCCCAATTAGAGAAATAAAATATCCTTGTTAATTTACTAGGTTGTGTCCAAACATTGCTCCTGTTAGCTCCTGCTGGTAGACAGAAGGAGAAGCTTCTTTTACTTCCACTGCAGCACCCAATATCCCCACACTGTTGAGGACTGAAGGACACTCAGAAACAGTGTAGGGACTGGTGCAGGGGAATCAAGACAACTTGCCCCCACCCCACAAGCAGGATCCCACCTCATTATAGTTAGAACCTGTCTTTTGGAATTAAAGAATATATCCTTTATGGATTTCAGAAAAAGAAGGTTCTGCATGAACTGAAAGGAGCACCTTAACTCAATTTGTATATTGTGCTTGAATATTATAGTGAAGGAATAGGAGGCAAGTGAGAAGCCAAAGCAGCAAGAGTCCATGTGTCCTGAAGCCCTCCAGATGTTTTGAACTACAACTCCCATCAGCCCCAGCCAGAACAACTGTGCTCATCAGATTTAGAATGCAATTAGATGAGATGTCAGTGTTCCATGTCAGAAACTCCTGTTTGTTTCTAAGGAAGTTAAAAGCAGGCTTTAGTGTTCGGGAAGCAACTTGGTGGAAGGGGTTTAAACCCATCTTCCCCATGCCATGATGTGGGTTTATGAGAGTTGTAGTCCAACAGCATCTGGAGGGTGGGAGGTTACCAGTCTCTGCCTTAAGCACTTCACATTTCCAGTCAAACACAGTGGCAATACTATTATACTACTACTTTTTAATCTTGGTTCCAAAGCAATGTGCAGAATGCAAACTGACTGTGTTGCAATACTATAACGCTGCTTTTAAACTTAAGTTTCTTAATTAGAAGTATTTTCAACTGCATTGAACTAAATAAAACATACCCACACACCCTGCTTTCCCCACAAATATTTATCCACTCCCTCTTGCCTTCTCATCTTGTTTAAATGTGGGCTGTAGAGTAATGCATTGAAATGTGTTGCCCCATACACTGCCCAAGGGCACTGCTGCGCATCAATATTTGCTATGCAGTATTAAACCCATGGGTGGCACTGTGGGTTAAACCACAGAGCCTAGGACTTGCTGATCAGAAGGTCGGCGGTTCGAATCCCCGCGACGGGGTGAGCTCCCGTTGCTCGGTCCCTGCTCCTGCCAACCTAGCAGTTCAAAAGCACGTTAAAGTGCAAGTAGATAAATAGGTACCGCTCTGGCGGGAAGGTAAACGGCGTTTCTGTGCACTGCTCTGGTTCACCAGAAGTGGCTTAGTCATGCTGGCCACATGACCCGGAAGCTATATGCCTGCTCCCTTGGCCAATAATGCGAGATGAGCGCCACAACCCCAGAGTTGGCCACGACTGGACCTAATGGTCAGGGGTCCCTTTACCTTTATTAAACCCACAATCAATCAATCAATCAATCAATCAATACTGACAACAAGTGATTCAAAAAAGGAGAAGTCATAGGAATGGAGTCATTTTTCCACTATAAGGGAAACCAGATCATGTATATATAGTTCACAGAATAAAATATTTTTATTCATGTCCAGCATACATTCAATGACATATTTTTCTCTTCCAGAAGCTACAAATAACATTAACAATGTTGGCCATTTCCACTGATCAGATGGAGGTTCTTCAACCAAAGGCTCCCATGGCTGCCACTGCACCATGTAAAAAGTCATCAGCACAAAAAAAACCCCACAAACAAACTCAATCAATCATTTGCTGGAACAGGGGAAGAAGGAACCTATTTGTACAGGAAGACACCACGGATATTAACCACAGTTGCCTTCTAACAATTGATTGCTTTAGCTATACTTCAGTTACTTACATAAGGTACCATATTTAATCTTTCTAAGGCTGTACCCAGATGGAGATTTTCCATAGCAACTGTAATATGAAAGTGGAAAGGGGTGGGGAAGCTATCTTAGGGTCTGGGCCCTTTTGTTCTGTAACAGCTGAAGTGGAGAGAAGGAATTAATTGACACTTCTCACAATGGAAGGATGTAAGAAGCAGACTCTCCCAAGTATCTGCACTGGGACCAATGCCTTTTAATTTGTTCATAAATGATCTGGAGATATGGGTGAGCAGTGAGGTGGCCAGGTTTGCTGGTGACACCAAATTACTCAGAGTGGTAAAAATAAAAAGGGTTTGCAAGGAACTCAACTGCCTTTACGAAGAGAGACTTCTGCGGCCGAGGCAGCCATTACCACCCATGCCGTTAGCAAGGGAGGAGGGCAACTCTATCAGTCCCCTCTTGTAAGCATTTCAGTGCCATCAAGATAGCTGTTTGAAGGAAGAACTGCATGGCAGCAACAGCCTTGGCTTCTGGTTTGTAATATCCTCTGCTATGTGTTAAACAGAATTGGTGCCTGAACTTGTTTTCTCCAGGGAGTACTTCTTCAATAGCACATACCGTATTTTTTGCACCATAACACTCACTTTTTTCCTCCTAGAAAGTAAGGGAAAATGTCTGTGCGTGTTATGGAGGGAATGCCTACGGGTGGCGGGGGGGATCTGCTGCAGTCGTGAGCAGAGGATCCATGGTTCCCCTTCCTTCCCTCCTCCGTGGCTCGCTTTGAAACAGCAAAGCGGGAGAAGAGACGCTGAGTGGGGAGGAGAGAGGGACAGAGAGGAGAGGAGCCACACGAGTGTCCGGTTGGTTTCTTTAAAGCAAGCAGGCTCTCTGTCCCTCTCTCCTCCCCACTCAGCTCGCTACATAGAAGCAAGGTTTTTCAGCTCGCTAAGCTGGGGATGAGCGGGGAGGAAGGAGAAAAGCAGAGCCTGCTTGCTTTAAAGGAGCAAAGTGGGATAGGAGAGGAGCCTTCTCCCCTTATACCCCTCTTCTTCATTATTAGCAGCATCCTTCTCCACCCACCCCACGCGTGCTCCTTGTCCCTTGAGTGCTTTTCCTTCCCTCCCCACTTAAAACGTGGTTACAAAGCACAGATCCACATGGATCCTCAGGATTTTTGCACTGGGTCACCCCAAATTCACCATCAGATCACATAGCATGTCCATGGCTACATCTTGCACCAAAAAAAATCACACACCCACTGTTGCCTGGGGCCGCAGTGGTTCAAAAACATGGTTACAAAGCATGGATCCACATGGATCCTCAGGATTTTTGCATTGGGCTACTCCAAACTCACCATCAGATCACATGTCTGTGGCCACAGCATGAACCACAAAAATAATACATCCACTGTACAAAGCATGGATCCACATGGATCCTCAGGATTTTTGCATTGGGCTACTCCAAACTCACCGTCAGATCACATGTCTGTGGCCACAGCATGAACCACAAAAATAATACATCCACTGTTTCGTTTAGAATATTTTTTCTTGTTTTCCTCCTCTAAAAACTACGTGCGTGTTATGGTCGGGTGTGTGCTATAGAGCGAAAAATATGGTAGTTAAAGTATGGAATTCGGTTCAACAAGATGTAGCAATGATCACATAGATTTAAAGAAGGATTAGGTAAATTCATAGAGGATAACACTATTGATGGCTATGCATTACCTCCAGGATTGAAGGCATTATGCATCTGAATAGGATGGGTAGGAACAGTGGGAGAAGGCAATTGAATTCATATAATGTTTGTGGACTTCCCATAGGCATTTTGGGGCCACAATAGGCTATTTTGGATTGTGCCACATGCACTGATCCTTCTGGTCCATTTGGGCTACAAATAATCAACATCACACACACACCCCTTCTGCTTAGCAGGTGTCAGATACAGTTATTGTATTACTTCAAGCTAAGTAATAATGTTATGCAACCATAGTACCCACATGTGCAAAAGAATGCGCTATCTTGTATAAGTTCATTGCCAAGTAAACAATACTGGGAAGTGTGCATGAATACTTGTGGCAATATCCGTGCAGCAGAAGTGAAACCTTGATGAAAGATGCTTATTTCATATTTACTGCACAGAAAACTTGACAGTGTGAGGAAACACTAACTGTTGTTTTGAATTTCATTTAGCAATTATGACTTGCTGTTCCACTTTCTACCTCATATGCAAGCGAGCAATAATTTTGTAGTTCCCAAGGCCTTTCTGATATAATTGTCAACCTCATAATCCACACTATTCACCTTACCATGGAAGGCCTTCAATGCGTGTGAAGGAATATGCATCCATGTTCATTCTTTTTTTCTTTCTGAAGTGAGAAACATCTGCAATTCTAATGGAGCAAATTCTCAAAGAATTGTACTCCACAGGATAAAAACACTGTATGCTAATATATAAGGGACTTTATTTATCAACAACTGAAAATATATGATGCTATCTCAAGTTCATGATGCCAAACTGGTGTTTTGTTTTTTATCTCATGAGATTTTCACCACATATTGACAATAGTCTTTTTCAGCAGTGTTTTGCCATACATTAAAAAGACAATGCCACAGCTGATATATAATATATAAATAGAGAGTGCTTCATGTTTTGAAATGAAAGCACAGGAGAAAAGTTTGAAGTCTACAGTGGTACCTCGGGTTACAGATGCTTCAGGTTACAGATGCTTCAAGTTACAGACTCCGCTAACCCAGAAACAGTACCTTGGGTTAAGAACTTTGCTTCAGGATGAGAACAGAAATTGTGCGGCGGTGGCGTGGTGGCAGCGGAGGCCTCATTAACTAAAGTGGTACCTCAGGTTAAGAATGGACCTCCAGAACAAATTAAGTTCTTAACCCAAGGTACCACTGTATTCATAACTGCAATAATGCAAAATAAAGAAGACTTTGCCTACCATGAAAAGCATTTCATAGTTTTCTATCATCTTTTGTACAACAGCAATGATTGCAGTACTCTCCTCAGCTCGCGCTGTACTTTGAACGGTAAATTCTTTGTCTGTTGTCTTCTGTTTGTGCAACAGGTTAGGTCCAAATATAGTGGCTAGATTAAGTGATGTCATTTTGTTGCCAGGAATCTGGAAAAAAACAGAAATAAAGTTGAGTTACCCGATTCTGTAAATGGCTGCCTGGAATTTAGTGTAGGCTGAATTTATTTGCCTAACCAGTTTAGAACCCCACACTGTCTTATACCCTTGAACCATCTGCCATAAAAAAGATCCAAATTTGTTCTCACTATGTCTGCATCTTTATCTTTTTCTTTTTTTTTTAGTTTATCAACTATGTGTGCTTTATACAAGGATGCCTGAAGATCAGGAACACAACTGTTTCTGGAAAGAACATCAAGCAATGACCTGTTATATTTATAATACCGGTGCTGGAGACAGTTTTCTGATAAGCTGCTTTTCAGTGGTGAGGCTCTTCTATACAAATGCCACATGAAGTGCTAAGTTTCCACTCCAGCACCAGTGATTACTAGAAACTTGCACTGCATGAGGAAAGGGAAAGTAATATTTGGAAAGCACAAAACATATGCTAATATTCAACTTCCAAAAGAAATCTATAACCAGAGCACAAATAATCCAAAGGAAATTGTGTACAGTATACTTTATCCATTATTTAAAATTAAAGTTTACAAAACTATTGAAAAGATGAAATAGGAATTGCTAATTTATAATAAAATTTACTGAGATTAGTATGATTTAGGGAAGGAGAGAGGAGTTAAACACAGCAAATGCTTTGTTTCCAACTAGAATTTATTTATATATGAAATTTAATCAAAAGATTCGGGTTGGAATTTTCATTTTAAAGCATTTCTTTCCCTTTTTTTGTTCTCAATGCAGCAAATATCAAAGCCACTTTTGAAAAATCACTTATTTTGTTATTAACAATAAAAAATATTAATAAGCATGGAAACTGTTAATAAACACAAAGATGCTGTACCAGAAAATGAAGCAAATGGGGGGCGGGGGGGGGGGATTCAGTTCTCTGTTCTTCAGAGCATCCTCCAGAAATAGCCATAGAAAAAATGAATGATCTGAACTTACATCCTGGCTGTCTTGGTCTATCCTGTCTTCTGCATGGCTAGCTACAGTCGCAAGGAACTGGAGGAGTCGATGTAAGGTGTCACAGTTGCAGGGAGGTAGAAGATAAATAAGAAGTTGCAGGGTGCTTAGTTGTTCATGGGGCTCTAATACTAAAAGAGAGGGGGGAAAGTACTCTAAGGAATGTGCTCACAGTTATGTACACAAGGACAGGCATGTTACATATCTCTCAACTGACATGATAAAGTAAAGGTAAAGGTAAAGGTAAAGGTACCCCTGCCCGTACGGGCCAGTCGTATCCGACTCCAGGATTGTGCGCCCATCTCACTTAAGAGGCCGGGGGCCAGCACTGTCTGGAGACACTTCCGGGTCACGTGGCCAGCGTGATGAAGCTGCTCTGGCAAGCCGGCACCAGCGCAGCACACGGAAACGCCGTTTACCTTCCCGCTATAAAGCGGTACCTATTTATCTACTTGCACTTAGGGGTGCTTTCGAACTGCTAGGTGGGCAGGAGCTGGGACCGAAAGACGGGAGCTCACCCCGCCACGGGGATTCGAACCGCCGACCATACGATCGGCAAGTCCTAGGCACTGAGGTTTTACCCACAGCGCCACCTGCGTCCCTTATATAATTTATATCAACTGCAATTAAATATAGGCAACCCCCAATTTGCTCCTGTTCCACCCCACTCCACCCCCCTCACACCCTCTTCCAGGTCTGAAAACAGCCCATGTGTGCATTGTCGCATATTCTTTGAACACAGGCAACACTGGTGTTGCCTGCACAAGAACATAATCTAGAGCTGAGCCAAAACACCTCTCTTTTTCTCAGACAGTTTCTGAGAATTTTCTCTCATTTGGCTATAAGAAAAGGCCACTTCACAGAATTTTCTCTGACTATTCTTCATCATTGGCCACCAATTCCTCTCTTCTCCCATGACCTGGGATAATGCTAGGTTTGAGCCATTGTGGGGAATGCAAAATGGTAGCCAGGCTGCCATCATAGTTGCTGCTGTTGTCACTTGTTGAGAAAAGAAAATAAGCTTCACCATTGTCACTGATAATATTGAATCTCGTCCCTGAGAATAGGAAGAAAAATTTCAAGAGGCATTGGTGCACAGCTCTAGTCTGGAAAAAACAGGATTCACGTCAACTTGATGAAGCAACAGGTATATTCTAACGGAGTTCATCTCAGGATAACATGAAATCAACATTTGAGGAAGTTTCTAGAGAAAATTCAACTATAGATCACATTTTTACTCTTATTCTCAATCAGTGAGTGGGGCTGAATACAGTATTGTCAGCATTGTGTACAAGTGGACAAAATCATACATTGTCTCTCACATTAGTTCCAGGTAGACAATGGATCCAATATTTCACAAGTGGGAGGCAAGCTTACACAGCAAATCTTTCCCTTCCTCCATTCTGTCCTCCAACACTTGCACTCCCCAAAAAGCTTCTCTACAGGGTCAGGGGTCATTCAGGGAGTAAGGGTTGTGTTGTAAATGGCTGCAGTGGATAGGAGGAATTACTGAAAAATTGGTGAAGAAAATTGTGCTCTGCAGGGCTGCAGGAAGGAAAGAAATGAGAGACCTGTAGTCTGTACTTATGTTTCACTTGCACAATGTTGGCTATAACCCCAAGTGTTTGGCACTACTATTTAAAGTTTGGGAAAGCATAATGGCTTTACAAACTGTAGTCAATTTGCATGCACACATGATGAACATTGGCAACTGGCCACGCTGGAGATGCAGTCTAAAACATCTGGATGGCACCAGGTTGAGGAAAGCTGCTAAGGATTAGCCATAGAGGTTCATCAGGAACA